TATCATTCTCACTGTTTCTGTATTCCTTTGAGAACGCTCTGTAAGATGTTGGGAATTGCTCTCCCTTCAAAAGTCCCTTTAACTCTCATCAGGCAATGTCTAAGGCTAGAGCTAACATAGCCAGGAACAGTCACCAAAGAGTAAATGCCTGTCCAACCATTCTTCCCTCTCCAGTCCTCAACTTCTTTCCTTTTCAAAGGCTCACATGTGATGATTCAATATCCAAGGCAGGTGGAGCGTGCGGGCTTACCACACATGCAAGCTTACAGAAAACTGTCTTGTCTTTTCTTTTTTTGGGGGGGTGGGTTTTTTAAAATAATTCTGAGAAGAGCTACAGTCTTCTGAGGAAAAGCTCTGTGCGTAATATGGAAGGTCAAATCTGCAGAGTCTAACTCTTTGTAAGAAGGAATATGAAGGAGTTTTTTGAGGAACATGGTAAAGACAGGTAACGGAGAAGACAAAAACCAGTCGCTTTGTCTCACCATTCGTGCTTCCCACACACAGTCAGAATGGGAAACTAATGGCTTTATTGCAAGATTAAGGGGGATATTGCAGTTAGAACGAGTAGCAAAGACATCCCTCCTTGCTGGATGCTCAGTCTTCCTATGATGGCAGGAAGGGCAAGTTTAAACAAAACAAAAACAAAAAACAATGAGGCACCCTCACAGTTTCTATTTGTACAAGTCTATGGAGCTGCAAAGCCCAGCAGGGACCACTAACCAGCCTCACACTTTCTGTTGCAGTCTTCGGGCACCCACAGGCATTGATCAAGTGTGAATGGAAGTTGTGCTGTTTGTAACTGTGCTGTTGCATGGCTGAGGTGCAAAGCACAGGGAGCCAAGTAGTTCCTGGTTCGCTTCTTTCTTTCTTCAAATCAGTTCCAGAACGGAGCATTTAATAAAAATTATTCAGTACACCACCATCACGTAAAGGGGAGATAGAGGGGAAGGAGAAAGGAGCCTAAAGTGAATATCAAAACCACACATAAACAAAGCATAATGAAGGAAAACAGCGGCCCATTTTTCTTCCCCTCAGTATGTGGTGAATATGCAGTTCCTGTGAGCGTGCATGGCTTGTGCTTCCCATTAACAAGGCGTACATTGATAAATTTAACTCAGACAAATTTAACCATCCTAGAGCCACATTAATCAAAAGCCTGACAAGACCAATCTGAAAGAGTTGAGCAAGGAAAATAAAGCACAGCTGACACAGAATGCCATGCCCTCATTGTCCCCAGGCCATCCCACTCTATCAGCACCTCCGGTACCACAATAACTCCTTCCCACTGCACTCCTACTGAGCTGATCATGCTGTCCTCCCAACACTCCTCATCCACCCAATGCCTCTTCATCCGTGATGTTTCCTGCTCCCCATGTGTCTATATGAGAGAAGGATTTAGAGTATTTAAGTACGATTATGTGCAACAGCTACGAAGTCCTGGCAAGCTTTGTGTTTTACCTGTGGCACTGGTGTTATTGAAGAGAATCTCTCAAGGTACGGATTAACAAGTGTCCAAAGGAGTAATAACAAATTTGATAGGAAAGCAAAATAACTATAGCTCATGTAAACTGTGAATTGGCTTAACCAGAAAGAAAGACCTAGGGCTATCAATTTTTATTCATTACCCAATGTGCCAAGTTCCCCAGTGTTGGACCTCCACATCACTTCTCAAGCTGAAATATGTATGCATGGAGATCGTACAAACTGATAGGAGTTATTATTGGGAAAACCTTCACCCTTTGGTCCCTTCATACTTAACCTTTAACATGGAAAATATTGACAAACAGGACCTTCCATCAGCCCAACTACTTGATAGGGAAAAGGGCATGTCATACAAGACAAGGAAACTGAGAAGTAACTGCTGATCAAAACCACGTAAAGCAGCACAAATTAGGCTAAGTGCATCCCCAAAAGCCATAATTAACCAAGCTGATTAAAAAAAATAATCATGTGATTATTCAGATTTGCCTAGAGGCATTCCCACAGCATAAAACATGGTGTGCTGCCTTACTGTTCTTCCACTTGATAAAACAACATATATTTTCATCACCTAAGAATATTGGTGTTTACTTTTATAGCCTTGGAAACTTGAGGGAAACTGTGTTGCCTCGCC